CATGTCTAAACTCATAAATATTACATAATTCAATAACATAAACACATATTTTATCACATTGTAGCAATTTAAGTATAATTAGGCACATTTCATAATTGCACAGTTTTCTATAACGGCAAAAAATAGAAAATCCTACTGAGTAAAAATACACAGTTTCAAAACAAAATCAACTTACCAGAGATTGAGCAAAATATCATTTAAAGACTTTAATTGTACAACAACATTATTTTTTATAGTCTAGATTATTTTATGTTCGATAAAACTATCACAAATTCTAAAATCCAATTATGAATTTTTATGAAAATATTTAAAACGTTCATAATCTCACATATCAAATTTACGAGTCGAAAGTTTTTTCCAGTGCAAAGTATCCTTGTTTTTGGTAATGAAAATATAATCAAGATATTTGAAAAAAAAAACTTTATATATTTGAATACTGATATAGGCATAATGTGACATAACTTGATCCGGACAACTTTCACAACAAATCCGACGCTAAAAATAACCTGAAGTGGCAAAAAAATCTTTGCTCTCTCTCAAAATCCCTCTCCTCTCTCTACTTTGGCTACCCAAACCAAACCAATGAAACAATGAGTGCAAAATTATAATTTTAAAGTGCGGAATTTAGCCCAGCACCTAAGCGCCATTGTCTGAGAGTCATGACGCTAGTTCGAATTCCAAAATCACAAGACTATAGCACCGCAGTGTCACTATTTAGCACCTATGTGTCATTGCATTGCTGTGGCGCTCAAACACCCAACTTTGCAACACTCTAGGGGGGGAATTTTTTGAATTTGTCAATATGCATTCCAAACCCATGGACTCATACTAGAATATATGCAAACTTTTTTTCATACACCAAAACACTTCCAAACACATATAAATAGGTTCAAAACACAAAATTTTAAATATTTACTTTTTTTTTTTAATTTGGTTTAGAATAGTTAGGACTAAACAATGAATTTGGAGATATCATAAACAAGGTCAACACTAACATCCACAATCTTCATTGCAAATAAGTTCAATGTCCACTATCGACAAGTAAAACAACACCCATCATCATCAACAAGTCAAACATCTCTTATCAACACCCATCATCAACAAGAAGTTTGACGTCTATCATCATCAATAAGTTAGACGTCTACTATCACCATTAATGTCAATGCTCATCATCAACATTAACATCAATGCTTATTATCAACACTAATGCCCGGTCTCATTGCCGACACCAACTTCAATTCTCTACTTTAAAGAGCAAAGATATGATTTGATGGCTTATTTTGCATGCTATTCTTTATATTTTTACAGGACTTAATTAATTTTTCATTCATTTGACTCTGTAGGTTATGAATTTTTTTAAGAATGACAGTTGAAATTTATCAGTTGTATTGGTTTATGATGAATAGATTATTAGATTTTGAGTTTCATAGGGGTTGTCTGAATTAATAAATATTTTTATTTTACCATTTGTAAACTTGAGGATTTGAAGTAAGGAATTGATTTTTATATTTAATTTGTTTTGGAAATCACTTAATTTGTTGGTGATGAAAACCATGTTAATTTGTTGATGTGGAAATTATAGCTATTTTCAAATAGGGTTTGAAGGCTATATATGACCTTTGAACAATGAAGAAAAAAAAAAGTAGTTCATTTTAAATTTCGAGCTTAAAATATCAAGTCGAGGTCAAGCTCAAAAGCTGAACTCGATTGCATGAGATGATCATGAGCTCGTGTTTCGTAACTAGTTGAGCTCAAGCCAACATATGAGCTCGAGTTCGAGCCAATCATCATACATGCTAGTTGAGCTCAAGTTAACTACGACTTAGACTTGACTCAACTCGTTTACACCCCTAATTGGAATTGCATTCAAACCATTTTCAAATAACATTCTAATAAAGGTTCGAACTAAGATTCGAATTTGAAGAGTAGACTTCAATAAGCAATCCGAGACTACAAAATAAGATAATATTGCCCAAAAAAAAATTCAAACATATTTCTCCAAAAAGATAAATATCATAGATTTTTTATCAGCTATGACTATTCTGAGATATACAAAATCAAAATTTTCTAATTAACATAAGAAAATATATTATCCGCCAATTTCTTCGACCAACCAATAGCAACTAACAAAGAATAGCTAAATATCTATGATAGCAATCTTATCCTAATTCATTTAATCAAAAGATAAGCCATTAAGACAAGTAGGCTTGTTAGATAGGAAATTCACACTTTGATGTTGATCTACCATAGTCACGTGAACCATGTTGGGTATTTAAATATTATTAAAAATAATAATGGATGGATTTTAAGAGTTTTAATAAATTCAAAATTAAAATTATTTTTTATCAGCTAAAAAAATAATTTTTATATTATTTTAAAGTAATTATTTATATTTGGTAATATGTAATGGTTAGGTATCATGTTATATGCATTATATATTCATTCAGCTTACATTGTGAGTCAACTCGGTTAATACTCGTTCGAGTCTAAAAATGACTCAGTTTTAGTTCTTTTTAATAACCCAAAATACGAATTTTATCTTTTGAACGAATCAAACGGTAGTTTCAACCATCGCGGATTAATTGAATAAGTTTAATACTTTATATTTCATCTTGGATAACAACAATCTCATCTCTTTTGGATGAAAATTCTCTTCTATCGTGTTTTCAATCCCCGTCACATTGTTTTTTTCGCAATTACAATTTCTATTTTCTTCTTATTGTTCATTGATTTTATATAATTTAAGGTTAATCAAGACAAATTCGCACACACATCACATACATAAGAGTCGAACTAAATATTTTTTGATGGGTAATCAAAACTTTCAATCAACAAATCAAGATGAGCTGATATAACCCTTATATTTACTGATTATTAACAAAAATGATGGGCATCATACACAATTTTTGGGGTAAAAAAAAAAGATTTTTATTTTTTTTAATGAAAGATAGCTTTTGCTTTTTAGTATATGATAAGATAAACTATATACAAATTTCATTGAAGTGATTAAAATATTTTAGAAAAGTGTTATGAAATATAAAAAAAATTAGGCCCTCTCATCATTAATAAAAGAATTAGCTCGGGATTAAACGTTAGTTGATGACCTGCCGAGCTTTGTATGGTTCAGCAACGAGTTTGGCGAGCAACTATGGCTGGCCACTTGACAAAAAATATTATTCTTTAACTTATGAGATGATAGATTCAGGGGCGGAACCAGTCATAATTTTCAAGGGGGCAGACGTATAAATAACTGTTCGAATATATGTTGGGGGTGTCCAAGGGGGTAGCGCCCCCTGGCGGGGTTCGACCTGCCCGGTTAGGTCGCGGGGTCAAGGGGCAGCACCCCTGCGGGGGTTTCCAGGGGCAACTTCTCTGGAACAAATTTTGATTTACTATTTCTTTTTGTATTTGATTCATCATTCCCTAACAATATACAGCTACACAATGTATTTAATTATATTGAGGACAATTGCCTAAAGATCATAGTATTTTAACATTATTAGGATGTGAGGCAATTACCTTAAAACCCTTATAATAAAGACTAAAAATTATCTAAATAAGAACATAATGAAAAAAAAAATTATTATTTTTGAGGGGGGACAATTGCCCCCCTAACCACAAAGGGGTTCCACCCCTGGACAGATTAATAGAGAGAGGATTCACGACTTAGGCTTATTTGATACAACTTCTATTTTGCTTCTTAAAATGGTTTTTGAATATAAAATTTTGATTTTTATACTATAAAGTTATTTTATATGGTACCCAAACATAGCCTTAATAGTCTTAAAAAAATAATTTTTCTCATTATCAAAAAAAATATTGATGCAAGTAAAATTTAATCCCAAATTTTTAATAACCAAAAAAAAAAAAAAAAAACTAAATTCTCATATCAATCTCTTTACATCAATTTTAGTAATAAAGAATGGGGGTAGTGGGACTTTATTTAGGCTTTATTTAGAATTAGTTTTATTATTGCTTAAAACAAAATTTTAGTACAAAATTAAAATTTCGTATTAAAAAATTGCTTTAAGAAGCAATAAAAAATCCATCCCAAACAAAGTATTAGTCAATTAAGATTTTATTTGGGATAACTTTCTTATTGCTTTGAAATCAACTTTTAATTAAAAAATTTTATGCTTTGTTTTAAAAACAATAGGAAAATAATCTCAAACAAAGCCTAAATGAATCAATTTAAAAAATGGCTAAACTAATTGATTTCAATTATAAAATTTAAAAAATAAAGCCAATCAAATTATTTTTCAAACAAACTTAATCAGAACCAAACTTTAATTTGATCAATTCGATTTGACTTTGGATAAATTAAAATATAAATGATTTTACCTAATAATTTCATATTAATCTTTATTACATTTATATCTACAATTTTATTGATATAATGTTAAAAAAATTCATATAATTCAATTTTTAGTTTAACCAATTTTATAAAAACAAAAACCAGACCAATAACTACAAATCAAAGAAAGACAAAACTAGAAATAATAATTAAACCGATACTTTAATAACTAAACCCTAAACAGATCAATTTTATCCAAACTAACCACATCTTTTCTAGTACAAGTTATATTGCTTCAATTGATTATGAGTTCTAATTATAATCAAGAAAACTGTCAAATACTATGAAAGAACAATGCCATATGAGGAGAGATTATTTCGTGCGAAGTCCAAACATAGAGAACCATCCAGTTTTGTGATTGTGAACAGTAAAAACACAGTTACTGTTCAACACTGCGCTTTTACTGTTTACAGTCACAAAATCGAATGATTCTCTACGTCCGGACTCCGCACGGAATAATTTCTATATAAGAGAGAAGAAAGGAAGAGAAATATGACATCTTTCTTGCCACCAAACTCCCCGACAAAAAAAAAAGTAATTTATCTCTGAAAAAAAAATCAAGATATCATGACACAAATTATATCAATATAATATAAATACAATTTCAGTTATTTTATTTGTCAGCGAAAAAATGTAACCAGAGATGTGGAAAATGAAAAAATCATGCAGACTTTATTAAAAAAAAATGGCAATACACTCAACTTGTTCCATTTTCAACATAGAAAACATAATAGAAAAGCCATGAGAAGCTGGTGAAAAAAATTAAAATTTTCAGCAACATACCTGTAGAGCTAACAAAAGGTCCTATAAGCTGAAAATCTACAACACAGATAGATGACCCAAAGATGCTCTTACAGAGTCAAGTTATCAGAATTTTCTATTATCTTCGAAAATGTTTGAAGGAAAGCAGCCAAGTCTGCACCATAAATAATCCGGTGATCTGCTGTTACATTCACCTGCAAAAGAAGAGAGCATATGCAGAAAATTGGCTGTGGATTAGATTCTTGAAAGGAGAAAATTTGAAATCTGCACGAAATTTTATCACTAAGGGAGTTTTATAAAATAATCAAAAGTTTTTCATTATGGATCTTGGAAGCAAAATGGAATGGAGGACAAGCAAGTGAAATGGTCATCCAAATAACATTCTTCCAGATCCATATTCAACCTTTCTATGTAAAACCATCAGCTGTAAATATTTTACAAAACTAAAAGTCTACCAAAACCACAGGCCACCGAACCGATGGGGTTGAAATGAGTGTTTTTAATGACTGGGAAACATCATAGAAACTTCTCAACTGACATTAAGATGGGCTAAGAAGGAGAAATTATTATATGCGGTGTACGAACGTAGAGGATCTTCAAGATTACTGGACGCACTGCGTACGCTCTGCATACACTCTATTTACACTGCGTATTTGTAGATACGTAGCAAATCCTCACAACTAATTATTTGCTTCTTATTTATTGCGTATCTACAAATATGCAGTAAGTACGCAGAGCATACACAGAGCTTACGTATAACGTGCGCAATAATCCGGAAGATCCTCTATGTTCGGACTCCGCAATAGTGGCAAAGACAAAAAATTTATTCATAAGGGGCCTAAATTAAAATACTTTTATTTGTCATCTTATATGGAATGCTAGAATTTATTAAAATAGTTGTCCATGAGCCTTTGGCGGTTCTCATTTAAATTTTCTTGCCCAATTAAGATCACATTATACTAACCAAAAATACCATCTTTTCTATTGGAATGATATTTGGCAAACATCTTCAAATGAATAACACGAAAGTTAGCATATACAAATTATGATGCACTTATATCCTAGTCGAGGAGAAGTCTGGTGGTAAAAAAACTCTAGTTTCTCTCTTCATTATCTTTCTTCTCTTCCATGTTTGAGCTTCATTTCATGAGAAATGAGGGATCTATTTATAAATTTTGAGTGGTATGATCAATAAATAGGAAGGAGATCAAAGATAAGTTGAAAGTTGTTTGAATGGGTGGCCGGTATTGATTCTCTTGATCGTGAACTATTTATTATGCATTTGAATATTTTAATGATATTAAAATTTGGTGATCTTGGACTCGTTGGATTTGTCTCGTCAAGCTGCTCTATTCGACTATAAGCATGTTAGTTTGGAAATAGTTTAGTCATCCTATTTATGGTTTGAACGTGTTTCGGGTCTTCGATTTGGACCCATTTGGGCTCGAATTGAGTTGAATTTGGTGTCATTGTGTTTGTAATTCTGAGACGTTCAATTCACCATTAAGTTTGCTGAAATCGGAGTTAAGATGGTCTCCGATTTAATTTTGAAAGTTTCAGACTTAGATTTTATCTAGAGATATGTGATCAAGATAACTTTTTTATGATATATCATAAATAAAATGTATAGATGCATATTTTTTATCTTTTGATGATATTTTATTTTACAATATTTTGAGTATGATTTGCACATTCTCTCTCTTTCTCTCTATCTCTCTCTCAAAGGTTAATAGTGCATTTTTAGGGGGGGCGGGGGGGGGCACATGCCTCCCTAGCCTCCCTTCCCTCCGCCCATGTTCCGCACAGAATAATTTCTCGCTAAGAAGACCACCTGAACTACTAAATTGAGATATTCTTCTTTGAATGCTGCAGAAGCCCAAACAACAGATGAAATAAGTGAATTAATCTAACGGGTTTAGCTGAGAAGCCAGTTCTGGAGACATTTCTTCATTATCCTTTCTTTACTTTTCCACCAAACTACACAGGGAAAACATCCCTGGTTTCTATTGAAGCTGCTTTGTGCCTTAACATACGGCTGTTTGTTTCAGGCTTAGTTATAGGCTTAAGTTCCCTTAATCTCCAAGCCTTTGCAAAATAGGATTTAGAAACTTTTGTAAGCCCACATAAAGGAAACCCATTTTTTGGGGGCTAAGCTAAGCAGGATCACAACACTGTTAGATGCCAAGAGCAGGAAGAATTCACACGTGTTCCCCTAGTTCCTCCTTTTCTATCTTCGTTGACAATGGTTGCTGGGTGCTTCTCAATCCTGTGTCGTACTACAAGTGCCCTCCTTGTCTGTAATCATTATGGGCAAGGATTTTTGGTTGGGTACCACTTATTTTTTCAACTTAAGGAAATCATTTTTTGATATGAAATATTTGAACAAAAAAGAAGTGTATTAAAAAATACTACTTTCCTCTCATTTCAATTTTTACAAATATCAATTAATTCAAAGTTTGGATTAATGGAGTTATCGTGTCATTAGTTACAAGTTTACTTTTATAACCATGGGCATTCTTTCTATAGCAGTATGGGCTAATGAAACATGGGGTTCTTATTAGAATTGGGACCCTAATGAAACTTGGGCATTCTTCCTCCTATGCTTCTTTTGTCACGGGCGTCTTCCAACTATTTGATCCTCGCTGGCTAGGGTTTGTGTGTGTGCTCCTTATTCTTCTATGTTATATGGCATGAACGCCCCCTCGTGTTCAATAATCACTAGCTGCTCCCTCGTGTTCAATAATCACTAGTTACTCCCTCGTGTTCAATAATCACTAGCTAGGATTTGCGTGGGTGCTTTCCCTTCCACCTTTCAGAGCAACAATGCCACATCTTCTCAACCTCTCGTCACTACTATTAGGTTTTGATATTCATACAGTAGTTTCTTGATAACCTTGATAGCAATTTTTGTTCCTTAGAAAAATCTATTTTGTATTTGCCTGCTGAAACCATCGACCATTCCATTACCTAGGGCTTCTTGTGAAGGTTCCTACAAATGAATATGTTAAAATTTTAATTAATCAATTAGATCACTCAAAAACATGATTTAATCTTACAAAGCAAGCCAATTTTAAAATAAAAAGAAGAAACAAGCGGCTTCACCAACTTATATTAGCTCATCTTTTTAGTGAACGAAACATCTTAACATAGCTTACTACTTAAACTTCAAAAGCTTACTTCTTATCCTCGCTTAGCCTATATAAATGGACAATCAAACATGCTCGAGAAATTCCAGCCCTATGGTCTACACTGCACTACCTCTACAGTGGGGATGTCAACGAAAAACACTCTGATATATTTAAGAAGTTCTTCAAAACAATTTACGTATAACACATTTTGCTAATTAGTCACCCAAACATTACAATAGAAGACAATCATAAATAGCCTTATCCTAACTATCTGGAAAAATAAGAATACTTTTTTCAGAATATTATACCAATAGTTTAGACATGTCTACTAGAATTCTATATCCGAGGTTAATATTGATAGACAATTTACATTCTCTGCAAAAACCTGTATAGATACTCAACAACTTCTCAATAACCTTTAATTAATAGGTATTACTCAAGCATATCTCTCAAAGAAACATTTTATCACTCCATCCTTTCAAAAAATTTCATGCATCCATTTTAATATTTTCATTTTTATCAAACTCAGTTTGCAGAATAACAAGAGAACTCAATAATGATACTCTTTTATTACATTATAATCCTTAGGCCGTTCCCAATTTAATCAACAAACTTCAATTTTAGAAAGCTGGACTTTTTCACATCTCCATTCTCCTCTAAGAGTTATACCCACCACATTCAAGTATCACTAGTTCCTCTAATAATACTACTAATAATAATTAATGTCACTTCCACTAAATAGCATTTTTATATAATAAACCTTTGCTTTACTATTATACTAACTCCAAACTATTTATCTTCTAAAAATATTCTATATAGCTCTAAACTTTAACTTCAAAATAGGCTCAACTATTAAGATTGTGATTTAGAATACCTTATTTTAAACAATCGTTAAAAAGAATCTCAATAACCAATGGTAAAATAATCATTTTAATGCAAAAGGCTGCTTCATAGAAATTTCACAACTTCAACTTATCTTTGGAATACACATCATCATTAAATCATTAGCCTTATCCATAATTATTTGGAGTCAATATTATGAATCTTTATTTTTATTTATTCATATTAAGAGTTAAGCTGATTCTTCACAATCATTTTAAACAAGTTTCAATTCATGTGCTCAAGGATACTTAACAATATTGGTTGATTTGTGAGCCTCACAATCCTTCAACACTCCCCCTAAACCGAGCGGTATAAATTTACCATATTGTTTGCTTAAAATATTTTTGACAAGGGGTTGTAGTATAATTTGATAAGAATGTCAGCAAGTTAATTTTCTATTGCACATATAGAGGCAACTAACTTTTTAATTTCCCTTTAAAGAAATATTTATCCATCTCCACATACTTAGTTTGATCATATTGAACTAGATTACAAACAATGTTGATGATAGCTTTATTAATACAATATATCTTTATTGGCCCTTCTCATTTGATTTTTAAATCTTTTAAAATTAATTTGATATACAAATACTTGCAAATTCCTTAAGAAATGACTCTAAATTTAGATTTAGCATTAAATTTTAAAATAACAAGTTGCTTTTTACTACTTCATATTATGAGATTTCCTCTGGAAATATACATAGTATCCATCTGTGGATCCTCTAGCCACTAATCATCATATAATGTTTGCATCGGTATACTATTCAATTTGTAAATTATCCTGCTTTTTATGGAGTATTCCTTTACTAGGACTTGATCTAAGCAATATGAGAATTCTATAATAAGTTTAAAGGTGATACTCATTGGATTTGTACATAAATTGACTAATGGAAACTCACTGCAAATGCAATGTTCAGATGGGTGTGAGATGGATGGATCATTTTTCTAACTAATATTTAATATTATCCTATGTTTTTTTTTTCATCTGTATCGAATTTTTAACCTATTTCAATTGAGATTTCACAAAATTTGCAATAAATCATTTTTTATTTATTACATTAGATTCACGACATATTTTTATTGAGAAAACAATTCTTATTTTGTGTTGACCTCTAACCGGCTCCGACTACCCCACTCACACATGATCTCACAACCGTCCATTGCCCTCTCTCCCATGACACATAA